GCTGGTTCCCTTCAAACATGATGCATGGAATTGAGGTTAATGAAAACCCAGTCCAGAGAATTCAGAACCTCAGACTGGGCAGAAGGTTCACCTTCCAACAGGACAATGACCCTAAGCACACAGCAAGAGTGGCTTATAGACAACTGTGTGAATATCCTTGAGTGGCCCAGCCAGAGCCTGGGAGTGAACCCAATCAAATATTTCTGGAGAAACTAGAAAATGTGCGTCTGCCCCCATCCAACCTGACAGAGCTTGAGAGGTGAAGATGCGAGGAGAAGAATGACAGATAATTGCCAAATGCTGATGATCAAAGCTTGTCACATCACCCAAATAGATTTGAGGCTGTAAAGGTGCTTCAGCTAAGTACTGAGTTAAGGGTATGAATACTTATGCAATGTACTTATATCAGTTTTTTTTATAAATTTGCAAAGTTGTCACAAATCTGTTTTTTTGTTTTGTCATTATGGTGTATGGCGTGTAAACTTTCAAAAGTAATTTAAAGCAGTTTAACATAAGGCTGCAACATAACAAAACATAAAAAAAAATATATGAATACTTCTGTATTATATATATATATATATATACACACACACATACACACACACTGCCAGTCAAAAGTTTTTGAACAGTAAGATTTTTAAAGAAGTCTCTTCTGCTCACAAGCCTGCATTTATTTGATCCAAAGTACAGCAAAAACAGTAAAATGTTGAAATATTTTACTATTTAAAATAACTGTTTTCTCTTTGAATATATTTTAAAATGTAATTTATTCCTGTGATTTCAAAGCTGTATTTTCAGCATCATTACGCCAGTCTTCAGTGTCACATGATACGTCAGAAATCATTCTAATATGCTGATTTGCTGAAAAAAACATGTATTATTATTACGTTGAAAACAGCCGAGTATAATTTTTTCAGGTTTCTTTGATGAATAGAAAGTTCAGAAGAACACCACACAGAATATGAGAACACCGTAAAATATCATCTTTCACTATTGGCAAAATCTTAAAGGAGACATATTATGCCCCTTTTCACAATATATAATATAAGTCTCTGGTGTCCCCAGAATGTGTCTGTGAAGTTTCAGCTCAAAATTCTCCACAGATAATGAGCTGGTGCTCCCCGCCCCCTTTTCCAGAATAGAGCTGCACCATTACAGCTCGTATCTGCTGAAAACATCTGTTTTGGTTCTGATGATCATGTTTATCGCGCTGAAATCATGTGTTTTAAACCATATGAGTCTAAACTTCTGATATACGGTTTTCTGAGCGCACACATCCGAAGCACACGCACAGAAAGCGGCTGTCACAGCATGTGAGTACTAAACTAAGTTCTCATTCACACACAAGTTTACGTTAAAAACACACATGAGTTACAAAAAAACAGTCAATAAATCAATAAATCCACTGCTCTCTTGTCTCCTCTGAGGTTGGGACTGTAAATTGTGTTCTGTGCTCGTCTGTGCAGCCAAAGACAGAACAGTTAGTATGTTTTGCTCAAACTTTCTCCATGGCATTAGAGCTTAGAGCTGGTTGTCGCTTGCGAAAACACAGTAACGGCGCCGTGGGTGGAAACTTACAGATTAAGGGGCGGGGGGCGGTTAATGAGATCCCTTTGCCACGTCACCAAGGGAGCAAAATCAGACGCGCTCGTTTTCTCAGACGCTTGCAGAAAAAGG